TGAACCAACCCAATATCATAAATTTCATTCATCACTACAATCCCTAAGACCACCAGTAGCATATCTCTTAACTAGCAAGTTTATCGTTTCCTATCTACATCCGATATATTTCTTTTTCCGTTAAGTAATGCCACGCATGCTTTCTGCCAGTTTGAAACGGTGGCTATGGCATTTAACAAATATAAGTTTCATGTTAAATCAGACTCCTCCCAAGTCAACTTCCAACTACAAATGGCATTCCAGACATCCAAAATCATCAACAACAACATTAGAGACATCCTCGAAGAGATCCAAAGTACATAAACCGAGAGCCTTCAACCTCACAATGTTCATTTGAAGACAAGGATAAGCTGGTCATAGGCCATAACTACACTTCCAAAATTGCAAATCTTAGCTAGCGGCACTACGAAAACTTAAAAACCCTACTATCACTGCAATCGAAACCCCGGAAGCAAAGTCACGAATTCATCGATGGCCCACTCAACAGTAGAGGAACCTCCCACTCTCCATGATTTGAACCAGATCCAAAACCGCAATTCAGACCCCTAGCTCCTATCATACCGTTCGGATCCAATGACAAGAGGAAGAAAAGCTAATCACCGTGCTCTATTTCGCAATCTATCACGCAAACACGAGAACTTACCTTCCTGAACTTCTTCTCCGGCGGTTCGCTCGCCGAAGACCTGAGAGAATCTCCACTCCAAAGACGTAGGAGGGCCGCTCCCAGCGGTGACGGCGGCGTCATCACCACCGTTCATTTTTTTCCGAAGATTAATCCGAGGAAAAGGGCCGCAAAATGAATCCGAGCTTCCAAATCTCAATCACAGAATAGAAGATCGCGTCATCACCAAAACCATACACTTCAATTCACATTCCATCATTCGGCTTCGTTCATGGATTTCGCCAATTGAAGAAGCACTAGATCGATGCTGATGATGACGATGATTTTCGTCCCCTTCTCTCTCTCTCTCTAGAATATGGAATTCGCAAACTCTCTATCTAGAAAACTAAGATACGGGGGAGAAAGGGAGAAAATCGGGAATTTCGCATTATTTTTTCCGGGCCAAAACGACTGAACAAATCATATATACTTGTGTCTAATACAATGTTTTGTCCTGACATTACGTATTTGTTAGACTTACGAGCGGTGATTTTTCTTTCTATCACAGTCAGATATAAGTGGTTGGTGATATTTTATTGCGCCCTTGTATAATTGGCTAAACGTCGAGATGCAATCGCCCTGTTTATAATTACATAATGGAGTTAAGATAAACTATTCATTAGTAATTTTTTTCATCGTCGAACCCTTAATGTTCATTTTAATTTTTTTTGTTAACTTACATTTTTTTTCGTAAGCATATAAAAATCAAAAAAACTTTTTATATAATTTCATGATAAAATGTTTAAAAAACACTAATAATCGCATCGTTTTCAATAATTTATCTATGCTATCGATACTATCATATATATATATATATAAGCTATGTATATGTATATAATCTAATATAGTGTTTTAATCTGATTATATAAAGTGACATATAATTTTCTGATTTCTCGGTTTTCTCATCTATGTATTTTAATATTGTTAATCCTTTTTATTCAATCGTGACATATAAATTGTGAAACAAATTAATTATTGGTTTTCCAAGCACGCATAAAAGAGGAGGGAGTTTTGTGGTAGGTTGGCAATCAGCAGAACTAAAATCAAATATCACATCTTACATGCAATGTATTTTAATTATATAAACGTTGGGACGTCCTCTACTTATGACATGCTATACCAGAACTCGGGTGTAGTGAAAAATAGGCAAGGGCGTAGTACGTCGCGTTATGTCGGCATCCAGATATGGTGCTAAATAGGCATGAGTTCCACATCGTGGACGAGTGTAGATAAAGAAGTTAGTCCAGAGTGCCGATGTTATTAAAAAGTCTAGATAGAGTAGAGAATAAATAGTTTTATAAGAAGAGGAGTAAGAAAGTTTTGGTGGAACGAAAAGTTAGAGTGGATACTTGGAATATTGAATCGTTTATAGGAAAGCTGATGGAACTTGTAGAACGATGAGTAGAATGAGGGTAAACATTGCTTGCATTCACGAGACTAAGTGGGTAGGAGAGAAAAATAGGGAGATTGGAGATACAAGTTTTAGATTGTGGTATTCGGGTCAAGAACAAAATAGAAATGGGGTCAATATTATTTTAAATAAGTCTTTGAAAGAGTCGGTGGTTGAATAAAAAGAGTGGATGATAATATCATACTATTGAAATTAGTTCTAGAAAGAGAAGCTATCAATGTGATTAGTGCTTATGCCCCACAAATAGGATTAAATATCGAGTGTAAAGAGAAGTTTTGGGAAGATATGGATAACCTTATGTAAAGTGTACTACCTGAAGAGTCTATTTTTATCGGTGGAGATTTAAATAGACATGTCGAAAAGGATCGACAATGATATGAAATGGTACATGGAGGTTTTGGCTATGAGACTAGGAATGAAAAAGGTAAAAGTTTCTTAGATTTTGCCATTCTTATGACTTTATGTTGGCAAATACTCACTTTCAAAAAAGGGAATCACACTTAGTGTGTTGGGATTCCTGTGATTTCGCTAGCAATTCATAATCATAGAGATCTGGTTCTAAGGTTTATGCAGCGGAAGGTGAAAAACAAAAATTTGTCTAAACAAAACCCTAAAACTGAATATGCATGATTGTAGATCTATAGAAGAAACACTAACCTCAAACGATCTGGGGTCTGTTCTCAAAGCTGAATCGCCAATCAGAAGAAGGTTGGAAGAGTACACACCCTCTACGCGTATCCATACGTTGGAAAGGATTCCAACGGTTAGAACTTGATGACATCGGTTTTTGACGTTATTTTTCTATGGTTTTAGTTGCATTTCACCTCTATTTTCCGTACAAATCTAGCATTTAGGCTGTATTTTGTACACAAATACCGTTTTCTTTGCTCTTGATGCAATTTAAGAAATATTCGCATAATTGGACGAAAACGGAGCTAAAACGATATTTTTGGAACTTAATTGAACCAAATGGACGATCACAGACGAGCTAAGGAAGGTCACGAATTTGTCACGGGCGAGAAACGGACTTTGGAGCGAAAAAGGAAGAAACTCAATGTTGAGAACATTGATATCGACGTTACTCAGCATCGATACCGACGTTTCCACTCACCGCGAGATCAGACTTTTAGATTTTCCGATCTAGACATTCCCGAACATCGATATCAATATTCCATACCTCGAGATCTGAGCAGTCCAGATATCGACCTTTCACAAAGTCGATATCCACCATCCACAACATCGAGATCGAGACACCTTGGAAGAATATCGATGTTAGAAAACATCGATATCGAGGTTTCTAACATCGATATTTCGAGAATTCTATAAAAAAAGACCGTACGAATCAGAGAGGGGTTTCGCACACTTCACGTTTCACGAGATATTTCGATAGTTCTTCGTTCTTGCGATGTTTTGGGAGCATTTGGAGCTAGAGGATTGCCACATTTCGGAGTTTAGAGATTGATTCTACATCCTATAAGTTTCTTTTCTCTATGTCTTTCGAAATGTTGTATGAATCTATTATAGTTTCGTTTTCTCCCATGGATCGTGAGTAGTTTACTTACTGCATGGTAGGGATTCTAGCCATGTTATGGATTTGTTTACGTTCTTAATATGATTATTGCATGTTTTGTTTAAGTCTGGTTTTATGAATTGATCTTAATGCTTTCATCAGATTGATCACCTGTATGAATTGATGTGGGCTAATTAATTGCAAAAGAATTTGGATTAGTTAATATCGGAATTCGTTCATAGGATAGATTCAATTATTAATTCTGAACTCATAGGAGGGACTTGAAAAGAAATTCTTAATTCGATCTAGGAATAATGATAACATACGCTAATACTTCTAACGTGGTCTTAGAGATGAGGAAGCTGATAGGAAAGCGTTAGTTAGAGAATGATGATCCCTCACCCGGACGCATTCTAAATTAGAAGCTGGAGTTTTCCAAACCTATCAAAACTACAATTCAATCTATATATTCTAGAAACAATCCATAACATTGGTGAAACCCCAAACCTACAGTGCTTTTAGTTATAGAGTCTTCCAACCAACCAACCAATCAACCTGCTTTCGACCTTCGCTAGGAACACCATCGACCCAACACCTCTCGGTCCCTGTGTTCGACCCTGGTACTACATCGACTCCGTACCCTTGCGGAATTGGCTTAGTCTAGGTTTTATCACTTGATTCAAATCTATTCACCTAGATTTGCACGATCAAGTTTTTGGCGTCGGTGCCGAGGACTGAGACTCAGTCTTGGTGTCGGTTTAGATTATAGTTTTCCACCACCATCTACTTTCTTTCCACCACCATCAGATTCCCTTCTTCCGGGAACCGAAACTTTGACTCCTTCGGTTTATGACCAGGAGCCGTGGAAGTCATGTTGGTTTAGTGCTCTATAACGAACTGTTGTATGAGCTTTATTATGATACATTTGATGTATTGACACTTTCAATGGTTTTATGGATGAATGTTTGATTCATTGCGTATTATGCATACTTTAATATGTTATGAAATCCATTTATTGTTATGAACAATACTAAACTCCCTAGTCATATATCATTGTGAAAACAATGATATATTAAGACTAGTATGATGTGTGATTGATGATCATAGAGATGATCATAGATATTCGATACGATCACAATCATAGGTATTCGTTGGAGAACGGAATACTGATTGACCCGCATGAGATTGTCACATGGACTAACATCATGACTTGAATCTCATGTGACGGTTCCATGATTGGATCCTATGACCTGAGATATCTACGGAATCCAACATGACGAATTGCATACTTTGAATACGTCAAACGTCCTGCGTAACAGGAGGACTGTAAAGGCGTGTATCAGGTACGACACAAATCATGTGTTGGATTGTAGATAGTCAAGATGGGATTTGTACCTCTCGTAAAAGAGAGAGATATCGCTGGGCCCTCGTGTGAGCGAGACTGTAGGAATGTGTGGTCGCACTATAGACGAACGTCGTCTATCTCGTACAATCGAACTCAATGAACGAAAAAGCAGTCGATCAGATAAGATGGCTTCTCCATGCCTTATGTACGACTTATGATATCGTGATACAAAAGGATCATCAACCAGAATCATCACCGATTTTCGTAAGATCACGAACAAACTCTATTCGAGATATGTAGTCATAGTGTCTTGCTAGAGACCGCCTATGACTTGTATAACCGAAATGGAGATTTCGGATTATACTGCTATATCAGATGAGCCTACAGGGTCACACACACAGGAAAGGATAAACGCGCGAGAAAAGACGAGAAAATCCCGGTGGAGCAGAGGCCAGACCGTTCGGTCCAGACGTCGAAATTTCCTTATCTCATTCAAATTAGGGTTTTAAGGGGAATTAACTTTGGGGAACGCCTCCTAACCTTTAGGGCTCGACTTTCAGACCCTTTTGAGAGAGTTTGGAGATCGAAAAATCGAAAGTAAGATCCCTGAAATCCTTGCGCAAAGAAGAACATGTTCTTTAGTTCTAGCAGACGAGTTCCAACCATTGGAATCCTTTTCGCCATGTGGATACGTGTAGAGAGCGAGGTATTGTTCTTGTCTTAAGTGATCGGATGAACACATCAATTGATTCAGGTCCCGGATCGATTGAGGTAAGCGTTCTAACGTTTCTACAAGATCATGCATGCTAGGTTTTAGGGTTTCATCAAATTTTTGTTTTACATCCGCTGCGCAAACCGTAGAACCGATCTCTTAGGAATTAGATTCGCTGTAGAGATCCCAAGAATCCCAACAAGTCAAACTCTACTTCCTCCTGATCCAGAAATCGAAAGAACTCTTCAACTCCTGAGGCAACGTAGGAGATTGGAAGCAATGGAAGAAAACAAAAATGTTGACGACCATTCTGCGCATAACGCTGCTCTATCGAGAGTAGTCGAGCGAAATAAAGCGCTTACTTTTGGAGATTACACTACTCCGAAGCACACTCGACTACTTTCTTGCATTCGTA